GGGAGTGGGACGTGGAGGTAGGGTGCAGCAAAAAGCAGGAGAGCATGAGGGAGAGCGAGGAGGGGAGTGGGAAGTGGAGGTAGGGTGCAGCAAAAAGCAGGGGAGCATGAGGGAGAGCGAGGAGGGGAGTGGGAAGTGGAGGGCGGTGGGGGGAGGCCGTGAGACGAGGTTAAGATTCGATACGCGAGGCTGTGAGCGGAGGAGCTACGTACGTCGCTGTGAGCGGAGGAGCTACGTACGTCGCGGTGAGCGGAGGAGCTACGTACGTCGCTGTGAGCGGAGGAGCTACGTACATCGCTGGACGTACGTAGCTCCTCCGCTCACAGCGACGTACGTAGCTCCTCCGCTCAACGGGTGAGCGGAGGAGCTACGTACGTCGCTGTGAGCGGAGGAGCTACGTACGTCGCAGTGAGCGGAGGAGCTACGTACGTCGCTGTGAGCGGAGGAGCTACGTACGTTGCTGTGAGCGGAGGAGCTACGTACGTCGCGGTGAGCGGAGGAGCTACGTACGTCGCGGTGAGCGGAGGAGCTACGTACGTTGCTGTGTACCCACGTCGAGGGTGAGGCGTCGCTCGCCTGCACGGCCAGATCGACGATGCCACACATCTGCAGCTTCATCGGCGACGAACAGATGGAGAATCCGCCGACCTCCTCCACGCCGGGGATGGTCAGATCCACCCTGCGACCCGGCGAGAGACACAGAACACCGACGGTTACACAAACACGTGGCTCCGAGATCGCGAGGTGATTGAACCCGCACATCACTCAAGGAAAGCAGAGTCACAGAGAACAGAGGCGTAAGCACAGAGTCTCCTTTGTAGATAGGTTACTATAGTACATAGAAGTGATCTAACTGTATATCAAACTTCCCACTTCAAAAATGTATTCTAAATTCTAAAAATGTCCTTTATAGACAGGTGTTTGAACATTCTATAGCGGTGATTACTAACGCAGGTGTGACTGAAATAGTAAGACGCTTTCGTTAACGCAGCAGCAGGTGAATAGAATAAGTGCATTTTCACAGCAGCAAAAATACAATGTTGCCCCCCCCGTATCACCCCCCCCCCCGAGTATCACCCCCCCCCCCCGACGTATCACACCATTGAGAATCACGTCGAAATTAGAGTACACCAGAAATAATCACATGATATTATGCAGCATGGGTCAAAAATACTGTGAAACTGCGATGTGAACAGGAAACTTGTCTCTCTAGCAATGATGGGGTATGCATGGGCTGGAGAAATGGGAGTAAGAGACTAGTAGGAGTACAAGTAATGCTTACCATTGGCCCGCCTTAAAACTGACATTCTTCTCAGCGACCTTGAGAGAAAGAGTCTTCACCGTGTCTGAAGCATTGCTGATAGAGATCACCGTTGCCTTGGAAACCAACTACATGAACATACGACATTCAGAAATTAGAACAAAAACTCATTTGGTAATTTGCATGTTTCGAAATTGTATTTGCCTTCAGTGATAGATTTGCATGCCTGCATAGCTTCCTTTGTTTGAGTGAACGGATTGAGAAAAGGAATCGACATTGCTATATAATACGCCTTGGATAGATCAAGCTCCTGCAGCGATACATGTAGAATTAGTTCAATAAGTCTGGCAACACACACGATGACATTTGCGAACTTCCCACAGTCAAGGGAATTGTAGAGAAAAACAGAATTGAGCAACATGTAACAGTAAGAGTCAGACATTAATATATCAAAAATTCATTGTTATTAAACCCTATATAGTTATGCAAAATTTACAAGTGGCTTCCTAAAAGTAGAGAGAGAGAGAGAGAGGGGTGAGCGAGAGGAGGGGCGGAGGGAGAGAGAGAGNCATAAAACTCAATTATTCGATTTCTTCGGGAGAACAGCTATTCTTACCAGGCGGCGTTAAAGGTGTGAACAACAGTAGAGGGCGTTCATAGGCTGCAGGCCTGAATAAGCATCAAACAGAAATTAACTAGAAACGAGCAGTTGTCGCCAACTACATGTATCCCCCGTGATCTAGTATAAATGGAATATCTCTGTAAGGATGTAGAAGGCAGCTAAAGTTAAATAAGTCACAAAGACAAAGGTTTGTTAGACAACTGGTGTGCTCAGATGTGCAAGTATATGGAATCTGGTTACCCTAGGAGGCCGAAGAGGAATTAAGTCGACGGTGAAGGTCAAACTAAGGTCAAGGCAGTGGTGGTTTTGGTATGCGACAGACCTTCTCCCCAAGATGTGTAAGCATACCAAGTTTGGTCGCGCTAGGTCAATTAGGGGCTGAGTTAGAGAGCGGAAGAGAAATATGATCAAGGTCAAGGTAAAGGTGAAATAAAGGTCGCAGTGACCTGGTGGGCAGTTTTTACCCGATCTCGGATCATCTTCAAATTTGGCATGAATTAAGGTGCGTTCTGGTAAAGCGAAGACGCCAATCGTTTTTGGTGTGGGCGGAGTTATCGTTGCCATGGTAACAACATTTTTGTGGAAATATTGTAGAACCTGTAAATTGTGCTGTTTTTACCGATTGTCATGGAATTTGGCACACAGGCCAATATTTAACATGTCCTATATATATATATATATATTTGATGACAATCATAAATTTAAATATAAATTTAAATACAAATTTTAATACAAATATTAAATTTAAATTTTTTTTATTTTATTTTTTTTATTTTAATTTTAATCTAAATTTAAATCTAAATTTTAATACAAATATAAATTTTATGACAATCGGGTAAAAAGTGCAGAAGTTACCATGGCAACGATGACTCCGTCACACCAAAAACGATAGGCGTCTTCGCTTTACGATAACGCACCTTCATGCGAAATCTGAAGATGATCCGAGAAGAACTGCAGCCGGTAGAGCGTTCACAAGGAAATCTCTGCGGGGGCGGCGGTGGCGGCGCGACGATGCCAAACCCATAGTATCCCCACAAACTTCGTTCGGGGGATACAATTAAAAATACGCACGCTGTTACTGCGCTTACAAAACATACACTTTATTCATGTTAAATAACTACAGATTCGTGCTCTATGCTTCACTCGAAACTTTTGCCTGCTCTATGATGCGAATTTCTGCAAAGTTTTCTGAACACATTTCAAACATAAAATTACACCGGTCGCTGTGGCTACGCCACCTGGCGAGATGTCACGAATACAACAAGACCAATTTTACTTTCTAATGCTTTCTAGACGTCCACGAGGCATCTAACTTGCGTGCATAATGCAAATTATTGCACTCTAGTGCCGAATTTCGGCAAAAAACGATGCCAAAAAAGACCTTTTCTAGAGACGAAATAGTGCAGCAGCGGAGATACGGATCGACTTGAAATTTTATATGAATAATTTAGAGCCTTTTTCTTATATAGCTACCGAATTCCAAATGTTGCATGACTCCAGGCGCCAAGCCAGGCCAGAGGAGGCAAGGGGAAAGACGCGATGGCATAAAGTAGGTGTAACTCCTCTGGTGAGATATTGCGCATGCGCTAACACACTAACGTAGCCAGATTGTGTACTGGCTGGTATACGCAGCGGGGACCTTACATGCAAGTGTCACCGCGTGCTTCAAATTAAAGCCCACATGCGACGGCGTGATCGTATTTATGTTTTAATACCTTGTGAAGGAATAACCCGACTCGAGGATATAAAATACAGCCATATGATAAACAACTCCACGCATGACTTTATATAATACACACATGAATCATATTTATTAATCACTCCCCTTCAATCACCGTACGATACAATCTCAACACAACATTGGTTATAAATTCGTCATTTTAATAAACTACCTGACGCCGCCTACCAGCGCCGTCTCTACCTTCGCTAACGTTACCCCCCCCCCGCTTAATCTGTTGCGTCCCGACAACGCGCATATAACCGCGGTATGACTAACTCCTTAACTCCGCGACACATATACTTATACCACGTTAACTTATATTCCCTAACCGCATTACTGTAACGCCGCAATCAATCTCACACGCAGTATCAATGATCTAAACTATTGACATACTTTAACTATCATACAAAGAAAAACCATATTTACGTGTACGCCATCTCGTCAGAGGTTTGTTCGGTTCGCCTTGCTATCGTCCGAGCACACTCTATATCTTTCTGTTAAACTTTCTCCTATTTATGCTACCCAGCGTCCGCGTGTGACCTCTCGTTCTTCGGTCACTGGGCGTACCTGCCGTCTCCCTTTGTTTATTGTTATGCTGCTTTTGTTCCTCCCCCACTAGGTTAGTAATGTCATCTTAACCTCCCTCGCTCAGCTAGTACTGACCGGTTGCCAGTGACGTAACAGTTTTGCGTTCCTCTCCGCACCATGTGCTAGGTTACACATGCCCCTATCTCTGGAGTGACGTACCTCCGGGACGTCCATTCTCGTGTCCTCACGAGCCTTTTGCCCTCAGCTCATTCCGGCGTTGCAAAGAATAGGCCCTTGCGTTGTGTTTATGATGTTGGTAGTATAGTGTTTAATCTATTCCCCTCAAAGCTGTGCTTAACGTGATGGGCGTCGAAACCAGGGCGCAGCCCGATGATTGGCATGCAGTGCCATGCTTAAACAGGCATCGCCCCCGCCCTTCATCACGCAAGTTACATCTAATGCACAACGACGGTAAATCGCTGATCTAACGTTCTGCCGCATCAATCTACTCGCGTACTGTCTTAATCGATAGCTAGTGGCTTGTTAACAAAAATCACGTGCTATTTAGCATGCTGCGCCCTTCAATTTCTTCGTAAATCTGCATTTTAGTGAGATCGTAAGCCTCGCCCATTATTCCTTATACGGCGTGCACGGCAGAGAGCAGCGGGCTGAGCCGAAGGTTTATCCGTTATCTGGCGATTTTCCAGACACATCGTCGCCAGCGCAGTTCGAACGTGTTTGTTACATATAAGGTCAATGCGGTAATGCCTAGATTACAGCAGCTGGTGCAGCAGCTGGGCTGGTGGCAGCCTGGTCGTAGGTTAGTATGTACAGTGTATCATGGGTATATGCTTTGCTATTTTATAAAACCACAAGATCATCCGCTGACCGCTGTGGATACGTGCGCCGAGCCTACAATGTGGCGCACGTATCCACTGTGGGCAGCGCTTCATACTTGAACATCTCCGCGGTCGCGTGCGCATATATCCCGCGGAACAGCGCATGTTGTCGGCGCCGCTCAGCGCCTCATGATCAACAGCCAAGCTGTGCACTGCAAACTTGTATCATGTCGCACTGGACGATCTGCAGCTGGATATCCGCGCAAAGCGCGAAAACGCCGAGTTGCAGCAATCTAACTCAACTTCGCTGACCCCACTCCATCACCTTAGCCAGGTCCCTTTGGGTATAGACCAAAGCCCAGATAATCGCTGAATTGAGCAGTTCTGCCTATTGCAGGAGGGGTTTCACTACGCACGTAGCTGGACTTTTCCTACAAATGGTCGTAATTGTTGGTTTGCTGCTCGGCATGTTTCGTTTTCCTCTAGAAAAGCGAGTTTCCATTTTTTCCGTTTCACGCCGTGAAATTATTCTTGTACATATGGCGTCCGATAGATGGTGCAACGAGGCCATGTACATAGCATTTTCAAGTCGTTTTTCTACACAAGGCTCGGCTGACTAAGCTAGACTGCTACCCGGTGGACAGTTCCACACGCTGCACTAACTATAAGTTGAGTGTAGCCAAGGATACTTGGCGGAGTGAAGGTCCGTACCAGTCTAGCTGGAATCGTGACGTGCGCTTCAACTTCTCGTATTCGTGTTGGTACTCCGGATCTTCTGATATTTGTGACGATGACGTCATAGTTACAGCATGTATATATAGCAGAGCAGAGTACGTGCATATAGCATAGATATATGCATAGAGCATAGAACATATATAGTTTCAGATTCATACATATCCATCGATATTCCATCCATCCATATATTATGCCACGGTGTTGTAGTGCATACAACTGTAAGATTGTTCCATGTCAGGAGTCAAAAGCAGCAAAGATTACTTTCCATCGGTGAGACAACATAATTTTAAATAGTCAACATGATTGTAGTTATTACATAATGTTGTTCTTCACAGTTTCCATTGCAGTTGAACGATACAGATCATGTGCAGGACGTTGATATGATAGCATGGTGTTCATTATACTGTCTTGTCGGTCCTGGACATCATCTGTATCTTTTAACGTAACTGTGTACTATATAGAATTCGGATGTATTTGTGCATGTTCACAAACAAAACAACGTTTATACCGCACACATGTGTAAGCCTTGTAACATTTCTTAGCGCAAATAATAGTATAGTGTCGAATGATATATTATAAGTAAGTTGCTGAAATGGACCAGTGCGGTCGCATTTCACACGAAAATCCATAAAACCTTCTTTGTTTCCCTCTTTTCATATGAATATATTATTATCAAGGGCAACGAGTTGCATACTATTTGAATTTGTAACGCTCAGATAACACTCATGCACAGTAAATGTGTCGGTTTCCTTAGCTTTCGTGCAAAGCAAATGTCCTAAATGAACAAGTGAATGTGCGGTCATTTTCAGTAAACATTGAAATCTAGTGAGAAATTCTATACTGAAATATGCATTACAATGTGAAATCATGTTTACTTACTTCTAGCGCGTCTTTATCCGTTTATGTTTTCTGCATTTGCGCTATAATTTCATTGCTATAGTAGGAATTGAAATAATTCAGTCATATATCCTATAATTATGGTCGTCGCATGACCAGTCGTAGCCTCTGAATTGGTCGTGCCACTCTATTTTAGTGCATACAACTCGAACGTTATTACATGTAAGGAGTGAAAAGCAGGAAAGATTACTTTTCATCGTTCACACAACATCTATTATTTCATTTCTTCATTTCTTTTCATTTCTTTATTTTGATAATTAAGAAAGCATACATTATATCGATAACAGCATAAATAAACAAAATACAGCTGGAAAATTCTGCACGATGAAAACGCAATTAAAAAGCATGGCTAAGACACTTATTTCCATTGTGCTGGAAGATAAATATTGTAATTTGTAGATACTATAAATTATAGCAAATATATACTACACGCATAATGAATATGACAATGTAGCAAATTATGAAATTAAGATTTCTTTTTTGTGCAAGGGGATGACTCTCGCCAATTTTATATGTGTAATTATTTGATTGACGAATCATAACTTCATCATATCTGTAAATGCGACGCTAATACGAACGGTACTGAAATGCATCCCTCAGGTACCCCAAATGTTATAGGATTTTTGTTCGAAAACGTAGCTGTCACATCTCTCATGTCGCTTCTTCTGCACAGATAGGCCTGGAACCATTCGACGACCTTATAGTGTAGACCAATTCGTTTTAGTTTGGATAGTAACATAGAGTCGTCAACTGTATCGAATGCTTGTTGTATATGGAAAACTACCATCGCGATCAAATACCCTTTATCTGTTTCATTGCCAATGTAATGCCTAGCTTAAGTGAATTCACGGTGTATTTGTAGAATGACCTGATGGAAATGCACATTAAAAGGCGTATAATAATTCATTATCGATTACCTATTTCTCTATTTTATTATAACCTACTGTTTCTCGAACTTTCTACATAACGCTAAGAATTGACACACGTCTATCATTTGGTCGATGCGTTTTGCTTTGTTTTTTTATGCAAGGCGATGACTCTCGCCAATTTCATATGTGAAATTATTGCATTGACGAATGATAACTTCATCATATCTTTAAATTCCTCACAAATAATGTGACAGCCATCTTTTAGAAATTCACGTCGTATGTTGTCTAACCCTGTAGCGTTATGCGGGTTGATGTTATTAAGTGCCTTTAAGCACGTTTTGTGCCAATTAACCCCCCAATAATTTCCCCCGAAATATCACAATTAATGAAGGCAGTAACTAGCAATTTTCTACATGATTTCTTCAAATATTGAGCTTTCCTGTAAATAGATTTGACTGTATTCTTTAGGTTTTTCATAACTTTGCTTCGTGTAATTTTAGCAGTGAAATTGTCTTGTAAGTGTACTCGTAAGTATTTTACTGCAGTCTTACTTTCAATATGTCACCCATTCCATGTCACATCAAAGTTTGGAAGTGGACTGATTTTATTTTTTTATCGAAACACAATGCTTACTGTCTTCCGTAGATCCAGGGATACATTGAGTAATAGGCATTGCATTTTAAAGCTTAATTTTTCCTGGTCAACCTCAATGTCAGTTGGTAATACTAACAGCGCCGAGTCATGTGCATACAATAAAACCTTAGGTTTCACAGCGGCTGCAATATCGTTCACATATATTTAAAATAGCAACGGTCGTGAAATGCATCACTCACGTACCCAACATGTTATCTCATTTCTCGTAGAAAAGCTCGCTCCTTCCGAAATGTGTCATGTCGCTTCTTCTGCACAGATAGGCCTGCAACCATTTGACCACCTTATAGTCTAGACCAATTGCTTTTAGTTTCGATAATAACATACTTTCATTAATTTTCAATTACGTTTCATTACTTTTCATTACTTTACTAGTCGATTACTTTTCATCGGTCACACAACATCTATTATTTAATTTCTTAATTTCTTGTTATTTGTTTATTTTGATAATTAAGAAAGCATATACATTACATCGATAACAGCATAAATAAACAAAACACAGCTAGAAAACTCTGCACGATCAAAACGCAATTAAAAAGCATGGCTAAGACACTTAATTATTTCCATTCTGTTGGAAGATAACATTGTCATTTGTAGATACTATAAATTATAGCAAATATATACTACACGCATAATGAATAAGACAATGTAGGAAATTATGAAATTAAGATTTCTTTTTTGTGCAAGGGGATCACTCTCGCCAATTTTATATGTGTAATTATTTGATTGACGAATCACAACTTCATCATATCTCTAAATGCGACGCTCATAGCAACGCTCCTCAAATGCATCCCTCAGGTACCCCAAATGTTATACCATTTTTGGTCGAAAACGTAGCTGTCACATCTCTCACGTCGCTTCTTCTGCACAGATAGGCCTGGAACAATTCGACGACCTTATAGTGTAGACCAATGGAGTTAGCCGCTAGAAACAGTTGCCGCTGGAGGGCAGCACATCTGCAGAGATGAAGATTATCCGCGTACCCAGATGCACACCCGGGATAGAGTGGGGAAAGTGGGTGTTTATTCTTCTGTGTGTGCTGAGAAGTTATGTAATATGTTTATTGAAATTTACTGTGATATTAGTGGTGCATATGTGAAGTGGGTGTTTATTCTTCTGTGTGTGCTGAGGAGTTATGTAATAATACTAATATGTTTATTGAAATTCACTGTGATATTAGTGGTGCATATGTGAAGTGGGTGTTTATTCTTTTGTGTGTGCTGAGGAGTTATGTAATATGTTTATTGATATTCACTGTGATATTAGTGGTGCATATGTGAAGTGAGTGTTTATTCTTTTGTGCGTGCGTGTGTGCGTGCGTGTAAACGTGCACGTGTGTACGTGTGGTCATACATGTACGTGCATGCGCGCGTGTGTGCGTGCGTGTGCAGGTACACGTGTGTGCGTGCGTGTGCGTGTGGTCATACATGTACGTGCATGCGTGCGTGTGTGCATGCG